CTGTAACCTTCTTTAAACTTCATGAAGGCAGAAATCATTCGTACTCATACTGGTAAAGCCGAGTAGTTGATAAACCAGTTGCTTGATTTCATGCCCTGAGCAGTCGCTATTCTTCCCTGGCTGTGCGTTTTTAATCTGCCGAGTGACGGCAGTAGCATTGTTGCAATGATGCACCAGTTCCCTCTGGCTCTGTCTCCTTTAACTTTTCAGCGTAACACCAGCAGCAACAAGTCTAAAGCTGTGTAGGTGATTTTGCATGTGTGGTTTTGTAGCTGTGTGTGTTTATGTGTCTGGTTTTGTTTGTATGTGCATGGGTGTGGGCATGTGAGCAAGCAAGTGTGCACATGAGAAGAAATGGAGAGATATAAGAAGTCACAGATTAAAAGAGGTACATCGTCGTGACAAGTATTTTTTTTTAAATTAGTGATTGAACTGTTCCTCGTTTTACTTGATTATTGTAACAGACCCTCTTTTCAGATGCTGAGAGCAATCTGGTATACTGACAAATTATCCAGTGCATGTTTAAATTATTTGGTGTTAATCTCCGTAAACACTAAATGGCGAAAAGCAAAAGGAAAGATCAAGTGTGGATGTGTGCCGTTTATAGCCCTTCAAACACTAAGGCAACAATTTTAGTTAACGAAGGGGGCATTCTCACAGTTTATCAAATAGCTAATGACTTTGAATTTCTGGAGAGCTGGCGCTGAAATATGTTTATTACAAAAGAAAAGCATTTCAGACAAAGTTCCACTTGGGTAGAGATAGTCTGCAAAAGAATCCAAATTTAATAAAAATTGCTCAGGATTAAGGTTGAAGAAGAAATCTAATCTAAAGTAGAGCTTATTTCCCCATGTTCTTCATCGTGGCACTGACTGACTTACGGCTTAAGTTCTTGTTCTTGTGGCTTAGAGTTCCACACCGTGACCTGGGACTGAGTCTGTGTTCCTATGTGATGTTCTTACTAGAAAGGAAAAGAAAAGAAAAACAATTCTGTTGATAAGTAAATTTTCATCAAGGTAGATCATTTTTACAGAAGGCTCAATACACTTAAGGCATCTGATCTCCATGGACAATTATTTTTCTGAGACGGTACAGTAATTATCACAGAAGTAGGACTAACTTTGCTTTGTTTCATTCACCTAGTGCCTCATGTTCTCACACTTTATCATGCCAAGTGGCTAGAACCATAGGATGGGACTTAGTTACTCAAATGTTAGCCGTTCCTGTGCTAGAAAGGTGTGAGAATCAGTCCAGACAAATGGAGTGTTTCATCCATATTGTAAATAACTGTACCTTGGGACTGCTCAGGTACAGTTGTTAGCAGGGACTACATAGCTTTGTGTGCTTGCCAGTGTGCTAGTACACAGCAACAAACAGGGATAAGAATTTTCTTCACCTCCAAGGTGGTGTGTGGGGGACTAACAGAAAGCAGTAGAACTTGGAGCTTTCTTATTTGTATTTAAGATATAGTCACATGTTTTGTGATTAAAAATGATTCATATAAGTAAGTTAGTTCCTCATGTACCTTCTTGAGGCCTGTGCCATATGGATTATGTCCCATTCTACAATGACTGTTTGAGAATCTTTGTACTCACTTATTGCTTAGAAATGTCCAGATGACTCTGTACTTTAGGGCTTATGCATAGATAATGTGATACGGTAGATGAAAGGGTTTCATTCTCTTTGAGGTCTGATTTCTAGATTTTCCAATTAGTAACTTTCCCATTTGAAACCCTAACCCTAATCCTCATTTAAGAAATGGCTTTCTGTATAGTCTGAGGGCAGAAACAACAAAGTGGACTGACTTTCTTTTTTTCCATCTGATTAAGTGCCTGTTCACTTTCTGTTCTTAAGGCAGTTTTCTGGTAGAAAAGGAGTATATGTTTTGTACCCATTTTAAAAATTAATTGACTTGGAGAAGAAAAGATATTAACAGAAGTTTGACAAATACTATATAAATTATCTAGGCAGCATAGTGTAGGTGTTAAAGAGAGGCCTTCTGCAATAGTGGTCAGTGGAGACTTTGGAGAAGAGAGCTATAAATAGTACTTTTATTTCCTCAGATGAGGGCGGCACCCAAGCTTTATGAATTCATTGCTTGGGCTGAACCCAGAGTGTTTCTAACTAGCCCTAGACTGAGGCTTGGAAGCTTAGAGCCTCCATACAATCTCTGCAAGCTTGGACCTTGAAGGCTTCAACTTCCAGCCTCTGTCTGCTAACCTAGGCCTAGAATGTTTTTACCCTCTAAAACTTAATACTGAATAAACTTACCCTTTCTAGTTATTTCTGAACTATGGCTGGCTGGTTCAACTCAGCTGTTTTGGCTCAAAACTCTCTCCAACCTGACAGATTCGAACTGGTTTCTTTCCATTTCTCACTGAATTACTGTGCTTGGAAAAACTACTTCTGGACTCCATGAACTAAACTGCACAAACTCAACTGTGCCAAAGTGTACTGCACTTGCAAACTCTATTGTACTGTTCCTACCAACTCTCTTGCTCTCTCACTGCCCTGCTCTTCAGTAGTTCCTCTTTCCTGTCTGTTCTTATGAGAGTTGAGCATATGATATCTCTGACTAATTCTGTTAAATCTTTCTCTGTTAAATCCATTTTCTGCTCCTAAATTAGACGTCATTGGGATTAAAGGTGTGTCTGTATTCCACGCAGAGGGAATAACAGTGTAGACTAAGTGTGTGGGTGTATTCCAGAGGGATCACACAGCTCTAGGTCTTTGTATGTGATCTCTTACCAGAGTAGCCATGTTGTTGGATTAAATTAAAAATTGAAAGCAAAACTTGAATGATCTTTGCAGAATAAGGCAAGGGTAAGTACATAAGTAGCACATACTAGACATTTCATTGACTAAAGGTCATACAGTGGTGGGGTTCAGGTATGGCTTTCTGAAGGGACCCTAACCAAAGTCTGTGTGTCTGTGTGCAGCATGTGCCTACGAGAAATGGGGAAATGGAAGAAATCATAGATTGCAGCTAGGAGAGTGATGACAGTTGTGTAGACCTCAGGACTTTGAAGCTAGAAATCAAATGATAGGATAAGGTTTGGATAAGAAGGAGAGGGCAACTTGAAAACACTTGCTGTGAAGCAGCTGCTGGAGTCTGAAGGTGAAGCATTGGGAACATGGAAGGCAGAATGCTGTCTCTGCCTGCCTGCATGAGGGATTTAAAAAAGGGAGGTTCTCAGGAAGAGCTTTAATAAGAAGAGACCCATTTGGCATCTTTGAAATGAAAAGACTTGTAAACTGAACGTGGAAAATGCTTTCCAGTTTCTCAGAAAAGAGCAAACCTGTACATAGAAACTTTAGCGCCAAGGTCAGGTTGTAGTGTGAGCGTAAACAGAGTACCAAGGAAGAAGATATATGAACTGGATATAGCACTAATGCCCTTCCCCATTTGTTTAAGGGAATATGTGAGTCACAGAGTGGAAACGGTTCAACCCATTTCAAGGTGAGTTTCCTCATGTTGGAAGCTCCATTTCATAGCATGGGTGCAACACTCAGCACAGCAGAAGTGCGAGGCTTCTGGGCCTGTAATTGCAAATCCTTACAAACAGACCTTATTCTGATGGAGGGAAAATATTCTAATAGTTATCTTAATTACTTTTACACACTTCTAATCACATTTGTAATAGATGTCCACTTGGGTAGGCACAGAAGAATATATGTATCACACACAATATTGACTTATGTTATATGTGTATGCTTTTTACTTAAGGTATTCCCTTTAAACCATTTAAATATGCATCTTTCATATTCCAGTAGACTTTAGTTGTTTGTGGGTAAAGAGAACTCTTTCCTGTTGGTTTCAGACCCATTTATGTTTACTCACTGATGTATTGATTGATTTATTCATTCATTTCCGAGATTGTATTTGTTGTAAAATAGGATTAAGAGTTTTTGGGAACATGTGTAGAAGGAGAAAATATACAAAAGTATTAGTGGAATAAATGAGGCATTCATGGAAAATTATGAGAACATGGAAGACAAACATTTGATCTCTGTTATATGGAAGAAACCATGGTAGATATGGGTCATTGGGAAGGTATGAAATAGTTCACCAAAGAATTGAGTCTTAAATCATACGTGGTGGTTGCTATGCAAAAAAAGGAAGGGAAGAACAATGGTATTCCTGGGAGCAAAGGCAGTCTGTGCATACAAGATCATGTGTACAAAAAAAATGAGGCAGTTTGGTATTGCTGTAGCACTAGGTGAAGGCAGAGAGGTGAGTAGTGACACTGAGGAGCAGGTGACTGGGAAGGCTAGTGCATAGTGCAAAGACATGAACCGTGTTCCCTGGTCAGAGAGCAGGGAGACTCCTGAACCACTTTATGGACTTGTGGTCTGCCAGCATTTCCATCTTCAGTAGTCCTTGGGAGAAGGAACATAAGGAAGATAAGACATTTAGGCAACTAGTCCAGAAAGCAAACATCCAGGATCTCAAATAGGAAACATTGTGGGAATGGAGAGGGGGAGGCAAATCTGTGGAAATCTGAACCTCTTCAAACCAGAGTTGCACAGGAAGGAACAGGGGTGATACTGGGTAACTAGGATACTACAGATACTGGCTCACATGCCTAGTAATGATGATGCGATCTTGGAAAATACAAACTGGGAGAGGATAGAGCAAGCTTTTTATCTTCAACACACTGAAGTTTCTTAGATGCCTGTGATATATTTGGAAACAACTTTAATTAGTTAAGGTGGGCAAAGATAAGTAGATGGAAAGAAATATGTCACCTATGATGGCCACCTAACCATATCTCCTTGTAAAAGTAAGAAAGGAGCGGATGCATGCCATCATTCTCACTCGAATTGTGTGCTAATCCTTGAGTTTATTCTCTGTTCACCTGTTTAATTATGCCCCATGTTTGGGTCTTACTTTGCCACAGTGTCAGTGAGTAGGTGAATAACTTAACCAGTGATTTTGTTATTAGGAAAGTTCATAGTTGCCTTTTTCTCATTCTGATTTTCTTGCATTTAACTCCTAGCACCTTCTACTGGAAGAATTTCAAACAATGCAACTTTGGGTACAGGGGCACCTGTGAACTCAGCTGTGGGGCCGCCCCAGCCAAGTGACCAAGACACACTCGTGCAGAGAGCTGAGCACATTCCAGCAGGCAAGCGAACTCCTATGTGTGCCCACTGCAACCAAGTCATCAGGTTGGTTGGTTAGTTTGGGAGTTTTAGTCGAAGTACTTAATGCCAATGTGGTTGTTTTAGTATTCTGTAACATGTATAATTTAATTAGCAAAATTATAACTCCATGTCATAGGATTCAAGTGTATCACCATACCTATTTTTACGAAAAGTAACCCTAGGCTCCATGAAAATAAAACTAAAATATTGATTGTGTCAGTTAATTCATTTCTAGCAAATCTAGAAAAGTAGTCATTAATCTAGTAGCCCTTCAGAAATATTAAAATTGTAAGGCTTGAAGGGACCCTGAGATCATTTATCTCAATGCTATTATTTTACAAATTATACAAATGAGGACTGCCTTTTACTTATAGCATAAAAGAAAGAACTTTGAGGCCTGGAGAGAAGATTCGATCTTAAACACTGAAGCCATGAAAGTAGGCCTGTTCACAAGTGTCTTAAGTGTTACAGTGGGTTAGTATGTGCATCTCTCAAGGTTTTCATCAAAATCTAGTTCCTGTCTCTTAAACTCCAAAAAGGGAAAATGCCCAGACATCTTTTAAGCATATTGTACTACAGCTTATTAAATCTCAACATCCTTATGAGCAGCTTTTAAAATGTTATGAGGTGTGTATGTGAATGCTGGTTGCAGACAGCTCACCAGAAAGGCCTTTGTGAGTTGCCTTGTTTGGCAGTAAAAGCAGTTGCTTGAAATTACTCCTTACACACTCTTCTTTTTAAAATGCCCTATTTTGATTTTTTTCGAGACAGGGTTTCTCTGTGTAGCCCTGGCTGTCCTGGCCTCACTTTGTAGGCCAGGCTGGTCTCAAACTCACAGACCTTGTCCTGCCTCTGCCTCCCCAAGTGCTGGGATTAGAGGCGTGTGCCACGCCCAGCAGGGCTCAAACCATTGCAACAATGGGGTCTATAAAGGCAGATAAGCCTAAGAGTGACGTTTTCCCTTTTTCTCTTACACTAATATTGTGGAACATCATATTTCTAGACCATTTTTAATATGGAAGGGAGGATGATCCAGTGATTTAAACATGAAGTATAAACAAATATTACTCTTTAAGTGTCAGTAATTGGATAGCATGTCAAGAACACAGTACATAGCACAAGATAAAATACCATTTTTATCTTAAAGATAGTTCATTTGTGGCAATTTAAAAATGTAGAAAAACAGAAAGCAAAAGCCCAAATTCATAAACATCCGTACCACCCAAGGTGACCACTGTCAGTTTCTAGTTTATAGGTTTTTTGGGGAAAGCAAAGGACAACATGGGGTTTCACTCTAGCCTGGAACTCATTATGTACTCTAGACTGGCCTAAGACTCATGGTGATCCTTCTGCCTCAGACTCTGAAGAACTGGGATTCTACTGTGAACCTTGCCCAGCCTAGTTCAGACTTTTAAAACATGCACATAAAAAAAAAAAAAACAACCAAGTATTATTTATAGAAACTAAATAGATTTTTAATAGTTAGTTTCCATGTAAATTGTGATTATATCTTCTTCATAAGAATATGGCTGCCTAAACACTATTTGAACAATGACAACACCAACAGACATGCTAACATGGAGGGGGGAAATTTTACAAGACCTCATTCTAGACAAAGAATTATAGCCGACTAATGATTGCTGAAAGAGGAAGAATTAGTCTTCAGGGATGAGGCTCTAATTATTATCCAATGCCAAGTGGTAAGCTCTGATATCATGTACATATAAGCAACACTAAATGGACTCAGCATGTTGACTTTCTCCCTCTGTATGTATGTTTGTGTGTGTGTGTGTGTGTGTGTGTGTGTGTGTGTGTGTGTGTGTGTAAAACAATAAAAAAGAGGTCATTAATTTGAGAGAAAGCAAGAGGGGACAGGACACAGGAGGAGTTAAAGGGAGGAAAGGGAAGGAGTACATGATGGAATTATATTTTAATTAATTATCTGTAAAAAGAATTATTTAGTAGTCATTGTGGTGGTAATTGTGATTCCTAAGAGAAGATTCCAGCATAATAGAGGTCTCTGAAGTCTAGTGCAGTGTAAATTGAGCAGAAGGCATTGAGTAAGTGTTTAATGAACCAAGGCAGGACTCAGTTGAGTCAACGTGGTTTTGATTGGTTTGTTATTTTTCTACAAGTACTTCTGTAGGGTTCCTATTTTACAGAAATAATCCAACATAAAACCTAACATAGCACTGCTTTATTCTAGTTAGTAAAATACTGCTTTTAATTCTACCTGTACTTAGTTGTTAAATTTTTAGATTCAGTATTAATGAATATAAACACTGACATATACCGTGGTTTCTGTAAATTATCTTACTGTGGTTACCCATACTGGTGCTAATGTATTCTAAATTTTAACATCCTTTGTGGAAACAGAATCAGTACTTTGGGTGCTATTGTAAGCTGTTGTTCAACAAGTTAGAGTGTCAAAGCATATCAGTTGCTAATTAATGTATGATTATCAACTTTGGTAGTTTCCTATAATCACAACCCTTAGTTCCTCTTTTTAAAGTGGAGAAAATAGGAAGCTCAAAGCAGAAGCAGCAGGAACCATTTCTTCTTGACTTAGTTCCTGATTTAATGGTAGACTGAGATGCTTCAATGTACCTACTTTCTGCTTTGTTGAGCTGAGGAGGTGAATGGCTGTCACTAACTGTCCCCTCATCTGTTGAATTTTACTTGTTCTTTTTGATCCAGTTTTGTTATCATCGAAGCATTAAAGCATTGTTTACTAAGGAAGTTAACGGGAATGGGAATTAGCTCATGTCAAGGCCGTGTAGCAGTAGTTAACACAGCGCGTTCGTCTGGTGCTCAGGTGCCACGGCAGCTTTGCACACCCTGCCGTGGGCTCAGAGCCCTGGCCAAAGCATAAATCCAGCTCTTGCCCTCCGTGTCGCTGTTGCTTACCAAAGCAAGAAGGTGTTAGATCAGATGACATTTTCTGGGACACCTGTTTTTAAACAAGTTGCAGTTGCAGGCAGGCTACTTTCAACAGAATATAATACCCTGGCCAACTGAGAGGTATAAAGTTGAGTTTATGTCGCTAGCTTTCCATTAGTCATTTTTGAGAAGAGGTGGTCGTTCTCAGGGCATGTAAAAGATATGATGTTAGCAACTGAAGTCATTGTCTTCATAGGACATACTTACCCACACTCCACTGATGATTTCATTTTGTTTAGATATTTAAATTTTTGTGTTTATTTGAACCTTGAGAAGTTCAGGAATGTTATCCTTAACTTATATTTTGAAGGCATTACTTTGACTAGTTACAAATGCAGAAGGTACTTTTCCTGAAGCCTCGGTTTGTGATAGAACATTTTGCATCCAAGCAGCGTAGACCTAACATTTCTTCATCTTTCATGCTTGTGAATGCATTGACTGTTTAAGTACAAACGTAATAGGACATGCACAGAAGGTGACTAGTGTAGCTCAGACCAGGCTCTGTTTCCTAGTGGAGCAACGGGCGTAGGAAGGACTCAGCTTCCTTCCTAAACGTAACATTTTGTCTCATTAAACTCATTTGCCATTTGTTGCACAGAATTTACTGAACTGTTCGTGTTTAGCATCTTAACATCTTTTTGAAAGAAGAAGAAATTTGTGATGCTTGGATTTCTTCCTAGGTATAGAATGTTTGAATGGTAGTCATTTTTGTATCATTCCTTTTTTGCCTATAGCATACCAGAACCACTTTCAAGCAATTTGATGTTTATTTCACTGAGAAAAGGAATTTTTGTATTACCGAGATGTTTTGCTTGGTAATTTTCAAGCATTTTCGTAAGGAGAGCATGTCCTGGGTTACCCCAAGAAGAAGTATGCAGAGCTTTTTGCCGACTGCACGATCCATCTCAGCATCTGAACTCCTTTCAACTTCTTTATTTATAGGTCTTTTTTTATTGTCCCTTCTGGTTCAGGTTTTATTTGAAAATAAAAGGTTTCCTGGCTTAATGTATCAGCTGCTGAATTTAAGAAAACAACTAAAAACATTGGCCAAGATTTATAGGCAAGATGTAAACCAAGATTTTACTGTTCACTATCGAGGAAAAAAAAATGAGAACAGAAGAGTCTAACATATATTTGCAATACAATGTCACCATTAAGATCCTATTTAGATGTTAGTATTTAGTGGATTCTTAAATATTCCAAATTGTTCAAAGTATTTTACCTGAACATTGTTCCCACCTCAAGATTACATTTGCTATTGATACTATGTATCCCAGGTGAGGAGGGAGACTGAAGCACAGACAACTCACACATTTCTGAGAACTGCTTTCACTGTAAATAATAGTACCCAAGTTTTAGTCCAGTTCTAACTCCATTTTTTTTTATGTCTATAGTATGGGAGAATGCTTACAATTATCAAATGACAAAAAAAGTATAGAACTGTAAAGTAAAAAAAAAATCTAACAAAGTTAAGCAAGATAATAATAAAGCCAGCTGTTTTTTTAAATATGATTGACATTGGGATTTATTGGTATTACTTTAGTGTGTCTTCAGAGTAACTTCATGCAGTGTATCCTTAGGAAGACTTTAGATGATGAAACTGGCACGTAGGTTGATATGACAAACACTGGGTTAGTGAGGTCATAGTGCCAGGACTAGAATCCAGATCTATATGGTTATGAAGTGCGTCCCTTAATTAATTCATTAAATGTTTACTTAACTACTTTTCTTTCTCTGAAAACATAATAGTACATAGCACTTGTAGTCAGGTCTCTTTTCCAAAAGACCAAAATGGAACATTCCCAAAGTTAACAGTTACAATTCCTTAATCCACTGACTCAGGGTGATGCTTGGTTTCTCCTGTACAACACCCTGAACTTCCTGAATTATCACATATGTAGGTTATGAATAGATAACCAGTCTGCCGTATGCCTGGCCCTGTTGAGTCAGGAGAAAACTGGCTTCAGCAGACTTGGCCGTGCATTTTGTTCACACACTGACACGTAGGGATAAAGAAGAAAGGAGTAGACAGCCTACAGGCTGAGCAGGGAGACGTTCTTAGCCACCCTGCGAAAATGACTTTG